GTTTGAAATTCTGGGCTGTTGAAGTTCTGCATCGACTCGTCGTGTAGAAAATTCTTCGTAGTTGATCAAACGGAGGGTAGTATTGCAAGAAAATCTTATATTGACTCGAACTGAGGATGGCTGATCATGGAATGTAACTGCTTCTTCTCCTGCTTTCGTAATCTGAAACTGCATATCCGTGTGGGAGTTATAATTTGTATCCATGTTAAAGATCTTGAACAAGAATACAGATTGCAAGATAGATGAAAGTAGATTTTTTTTTTTTGCAGAAAATAATGAATCTAAAGGACAGTATATATAGGGTTTAGGGAGTGAATTCCATGTTCAAGGATTGCTGTTTTTAGTAAAATTTCCTTATCCGTGTAGAGAAGGGGAAAAAAGTGAAATCAAACTAGGAATTTATACTTTCTGGACAAACCAAGGAAAGTTACCATATTTATTTTTTTATTTTTTTTTTCACGTGGATCGTAGTCTTCATATATATTCTCTAGAACTCTGTTTTTCCAGTTTCTTTTTTATAAATAACGATTCAACATGGAAATATAAAATTTTATGTTGTTTTTAGTATTGATGATATTGTAACTTTAACGTTTAGTTAATGATACAATTTCATTTTTTTTCATATTAATGAAAATTATTTTATGATATGCATTATATACTCGACTAATTAATTTCAAATACAATTATTCTAAGCCCCGATTTGATATAGCTTAAAAAGTTGATAAAAAAATAAATAATTAATTTTAAGTTAATAATATATGTCATGGGACCCACAAATTTTAAAATTAACTTTTAAATCACATATTTTATTAACTTTTATCAAAATATATTTTTTAACTACACCGTATAAGTAAGCTTTCGAAAACAAGGCCATGCTCAAGCTTTATCGTGTAATTGAATTGGCAATGTCAAGCATATAATTTAGTTAAATTAATTTATCAATCTCATTCTTGCCAAATAGTACATGTCGTACGGATGCCAACGAGCTGAGCAGTGACGGGCATCAGATTTTAGTGAAATTAATAAATCTTAGATATTAGGGAGAACAATAAATTATTATTATTATTTTATTTTTTTTGGAGAAAAGTCGTGCACAATGCTCAAAAGGGATGAACAAAATAAATTTAAAATTTGGAAAAAAAAAAGTAAAAGGAAAAAAGAAAAATCAGAATTATAGAATTCTATGTGGTCAATGAACTCCAAATGACACCACGTGGTTACGTTAGATTAGCGACAGTAATTGACACCCTTCACTTGATTGTGGCATTGAAATCTAAATTCAAAAATAATACATCATCCGTTCCATAAAAGAAAAGTTTAAGATATAGATATAAGGAAAATGCTAAGTGTACATAATAAATGTACACAATGAATGATATAATGTGATGCGACAACCATTCTGTCGTCGATGTGAAAGTGTCAGATTTGAATTAAAGATGTTGATCAATACCACTTGCAATTATGTAGACCATTATGTACTTGTAGTATCATTCTAAATACAAATACACATTTTGTACAAAAATAAACGAATTTGATTAATTCAATCTTCTTTGAGATTTTCATTTGGTTCTTGGACATAAACTATTGAAGGTAAATTTCCAAGTCTGGCGGAATTGTTATAATCTTGAGGAAAATGATCTACTAATCCAGGAAGCACCAATGCAATAATCCTAAATATTTTCATAAACCAACCTTCTTTATATTCCACACCCTTTATCCAAGGGAATAATAAACTCCTAATCAGCTCGTAAACCGCATTTAAAATCTTCGGTAAAATGTATAGCAACGAGAAGTAGTTCTTATTTGGTTCTTCCTCTCGAACCTGCATCTCAGTCGAAGCAAGTAATGTGTTAGTATACATACCTTAGCTCCATACACAATGAGTTGCAGAAAGAATTTTGATTTTTTTATCAAGGCAGTTTAGGTTTTGAAAGATTTTTCATTTAAAATAAAATTAAAAAAAAAATGAAAGGAGAATTTGTTGTATAAACAAACCTCAAAAGGTGTTTCTATAATTTTCAAAATAAAAACAAATATATCCATACTAGTCTGCCATCTCAGAGAATGTCTCTTTTATGAAATAAAAACGAGATTAGGCAAATTATGAACAAAACTATATCAAAGATGAGTATAAGAAATGAGTAATTTAAAGGCCAATCCCAATAAGAATTATTCTACACGAGCATTATGTACACCAAGATGTAAACCCTGCTGTAAATGTAACAAAACCCATCAAATATATATAGTATGCGAGAATAATAAAAGATGTTTATACCACTCCAAACAGTATCAATGGTGGGCCATGAGATCGAGTCGATCCCTCCGCTACCACCACACACCCCAAAAATTCTCATAATCTTAGTTTCACGATATATGTTGCATTATGAACTCGGCCAAAAGGAATTTGTGTCTACATAGTCTAACATATCTACTACTTTCTATTCATATATTTAACTATAATATTTTTACCGTACGTTTAAAGCAAAAAATGTTAAATTTATCTTTTATATTTCCAACACCAATACCAAAATCAAAACTCACCTGCCCCTTGTAGCAGCTGTTGAAGTATAGGCATGCCCCAAAGTGCCTAAACAAGAGTGTTTTATCATCGTACGGCAATCTAGGCACAATGTCATTGCAATAAACATACCTTAAATACTTCACGTTAAATACTCTCATTTTTTCCTTCATATACTCCCCAAATTGCTTATTTCCTACTCTTGGCTGGCCAAATGTGTATACTCCTTCCAATCTATCCAACAACATTTCTTCTCCATGCATAGTTAATATAGCTGCAAATAAAATTGCCAATGCCCCTCCGAGGCTGTGACCTGTCAATATAAACTTGGCATTCTTGTTATCATGGATTAGGGTTTTTAGATTTTCCCTTATTGTGTAATAAGCAAAGAGCTCTTGGTTTGAGTTCAATCGGATTTTCTTAGGCCATCCTTCGATCTTTTGTAAACCTAGAGCTTTGAGGAATCCTCCATGGATTTTTCCGATGCCTGGAAACTCGTACCATGAGATGTCGATGTCTGTGCGCCATGCGATGGTATCAAATGGTTCTGTCCCCCTAAATGCGACCACGATTAGGTTATTGTTGGTGCTTGTATCTTCAAACATAATTGCTTTCGTGGTGTTCATTTCCTCGTAATCTAAAAAAAATTTGGTTCTAATAGTTTAGACTTTCAAATGAGGTTTAATGCGTTATGAGAGTAAATAAAAAACTATGAATTCAATTAATCTTGTCCACTCGAGAAACATGGGGCCACAAAAAAAAAAAAACCTGAAGGGTCTTTCAAGAATAAAATTAGTGAAAATCTATATAGTGCTTACCAAAATCAATACTTGTCGGTGAATATTCATATTTTGTAGCAAACATACAAAAGTTTTCGTAATACCAAAATCTATAAATTTTTATTAGTTGTCACAACATAAAGATTAAGCTATAGTTTCAAGGAAATGGGCTGGGCTTTAATAATGATCATAGCTTAACACTTACCANATTCAATTAATCTTGTCCACTCGAGCAACATGGGACCACAAAAAAAAACCTGAAAAAGTTAATTAAATTAGTGAAAATCTAAATAGTGCTCACCAAAATCAATATTTGTTGGCGAATACTCATATTTTGTAGCAAACATACAATACCAAAATCTATAAATTTATTTTTGTTGGTAAATACCCACCGAAAAATTAAATTTATTAACATAATTCTTTTAATTATTATAAAGGACAAAATCCAATTTGGAGAATCTGTTGTTAAAACTATTTTGTAAATATTGGTCAAGGAATTTTTTTTTCGAAAAATTGTTTAATCATCCACCCTTACAACAGTGATGTATGTTCCATGTAATATGATAATTCAACATTAAGAAAAAAAATTGGTAAAAAATTAAAATTATCGCCACGTTTATCTTATATGGTCTTAAATGGTTTTGTTTCATTAGAGAGAGAGACAGACAGACAGACA